TACTGACCAACCAATTTAACAAAAAAMCAACCCACTGACCAACCAACCCACTGACTGACCAACCCTCTGAATAACCTATCAATCAAYTGACCTACTGACTAAACAACCCACTAATCAACCATCCAACCAACCCACTAACAACCAGTTGACTGATTAACCAGCCAACCGATTTAGTGACCAACCAACCCACGGACCGACCAACCCTCTGAACAACCTACCAACCTACTGACAAACCAGTTGACCTGCAGCCTCAATTTCAAAGCAACTAGAAGGAAACGACAACAACACAACAATGGCTCAACTGGTTGTCTCTTTGTTTTGCYTCATAAGACTTAAACTCCTGACTTCATATTGTTTTTTTATTTTCTGCTGTGGTGAAATCTTACACCCTCACCACATTACAGTAATTATACACTCACCATTTAATGAGGCAAAATAGTCTGTGTGGACAATTGATMAGGTCCTAGTTTTTCTTGAGCATAATGCAGAACAAATGCCGTCTCTAAACTGGTAAATCTGTAGCTGTTGCTCGAAGCAACTGAACCTAAGACTACATGTAGTATCTCACTGGGCTGTGACTGTTGGAGACTATTGGCGACTCAGTATTTTGTCTAAAGTTCATTATGTTTTTTGTTGCCCTTTAACTTCCTTTCCCTGATGCCAAACTGAGAGGGTTATAGTTGCTCTCTGCTGCTGGTACCACACAGAGTCTGYTTGAAGCAAAGTTTAACCCTGTTACGGTGGGTTTCTGGGATAAGTTATAAATAATAATAACTTATGGGGTGTATAAAACTTTTGAAATGACCTCAGTCTGACATGACTATATCGTGATTCTGATGAATAGTCTGAGTGCAGCCAAAATCAGAGTGGATTGTTGCCGTCTAAAAACAAACATGGGAACAGTACTTTAGAATCCTTTAACACCACCATCAGTTCTGCATTACAAAGTTGTTTACATAGAATCTGATGGTGTAAAGTTGAACACAATGCAGTGTAAAGGTTCAAATCAATGCTTTACCTAAACCCCTCTAAAATACTGAAAACTGAAATTTTGATTCAACTTTCACATTAAAGAAATGTTTTTTTATAAGCAAGGCAGTTTTTCTTAACCAAGACTTGATTTATGACAGAAATAAATACATAAAACATTTTATAGGTACTGTTTGCATAAATGTGTGTGTGGAAATGCATGTGTATTTATAGATCTTTAATTATTTAAATCATCTGATTTAATATAATTTAATTATTTATTTTATATGTATATTTTGCTTTTATTATTTTGTTTTGGTTAGTTGTAGAATACTAGTTGTTTTTGTTAATTGTTAACTAAAAATGTAAAGGTTTAACATTCAGAATGTTAACAAAAACTTTTACTTTCTACAAAATGGACAAACTACTGTTTTAAAAATTAAAATCTTTACTGACCTACAGCTGGTTGCAGGTACACACTCTTTAAAATTAAAAGAATAAAAAATAAAAGCATGATATTTCTTTAGGGACACATAATTCTGATAACAAGCAGCTTTTGTTTTGAAAAGCACAACCCACTTTATTTTCAGGTCCAACTGTTTAGTTTAGTTTAGTTTAGTTTAGTTTAGTTTAGTTTAG